TAACCACCTCAGCTTTCATCACTGCATTTGGGTCCTTCAAACCTCCACCTAACCTGACAGGAGCAAGATGTTGTGTAAAGTGATGTCAAAGGCGGCCGACAATTCCAGTAAGAGGAGAAGACATGGTGAGACCTGGTCTGCAGTTGTAAGTAGGTCATTAATTACCCAGACCAGTGCTGTCTCCATGCTGTGTGCTACTCAAAAGCTAGACTGAAATCTTTCTTATACATTATGAGCTTGAAGGTGATTGTGGAATTGAGATGAAACAACCTTTCCAAGGACTTTGGATAGAAATGGCAAGATTTAAATGGGTCTGAATATATCCAGGATTTCAGGGTAAAATGAGGGCTTCTACAGATGGGGCTGGAAAATCACAGTTTTGAGAGCTTGAGGAATCTGACTGCATTTGGGTTACTGGTTGAAGATTGCTGTGATCAGTGAACTGATGGCTGTAATATTGGATTTTAGGAGTGATGGGGGTTCTTATGCACTTTGGGATCCTCTCCTCTGTCTGATAGTCGCCTGAGGAGAACAAAAATATGTTTAAAGGTTTTCTGATATTGAATTTGGAGGAAGATGAAACTGTGGCTGAGAGGCTGGACCGGATGGAAGCCACTTGCTGTAGAAAAAGTTAATGAACCCGTTGCACTGATCTGTACTGTTGTCAGCAAGTACAGAACTTATTGATGCAAACAAACTGTTTTGAGTTTCCAGCACAGTTTGAGATGTTTTTAGAAAAACCTTAGGACCTGGTTGTGGAGAGTGTCATGATTTTATCTAGAGCTCTGACCCACATGCAGAAGACCAAACAGAGAGACCAGGGACATTTTTTATTGGTTTTATTGAGAGCAGGTGGAGAGGAGTCCAGTGCTGCTCTGAACACTGTCGAACCGGGGCTAAAAAGTGAAGGGGAAGATTCTGCGCTTAGTTCAGGCTCAGTCGGAAATTTGTGTCTTCGATTTGAAGAAGGGAATTAAGGCAACAAGACTCATGTTTACAGAAAAAAGGTGTCTCTTGTTGAATCCAGTCGGTGTGGGTTGTTCCAGTAATTGACTTGCTCGTTGGAGGGCGGACAGGGTTTACCCAGGTTGCAGTGTTTGCTTGAGGAACGGAGGAGCTGACTGACACTTAGTTTTCCTGCGGTACTTGAACAGTTTCTTGTGGAGATGAATCCCCTGCTCAGTGTAAAGCTCAAACAATCCTTGGGAAAAAGTAGATCCAAACCACTAGCTTGAATCCTCAGCTCAGTTTGATGCTTAGAGAATCCTTCCAGAGGGGCGAAGGTCCAAAACATCCAGTTTGCAGGATGACTTCCTGCCGAGAGGCAAAGACAAAAACAGCTAGGTTAAAACTCAGGTTGACAAAAACTCAGTTTGACTCAGCAAAACTCAGCTTGGCTAGAGAACCCAAAACTGGCAAACACTCTGGCGTTGAGGTAGTGGTAGTCAGCAGCTTAAGAGTCCTCCGGTAATGAGGTAACCATCCGCAGGTGTGTGAGGAGGCCAACGAGAACCAGGCGCCGCCTGGTGGTGGAGGGAAAACGAACAAAAGCACAACCCACACAAACTGGATTCCTAACAGTGAGCAACTTTGAAGTATGATTTTTGATGTTCACAGTAGGTCTGTTTGTGTATGCGTAAACCACTGGAGGTGAATTACCGCTCCAGGGCACGGCCATCTTATAGAACTAAAGGAGGAGTAGAAGATGCCACTGCTAATCTGCTTAAGCAGGTTTTTAAACATCTGGAGGTTGCAAAACACCTGCAATGACTTTATTTACGGGTTTCTCATCTGCTTTTAATACACTTTAACCCACATTTTAGTTCACAAACTTTCTTATTTTTTAAACCTTCATTTCAAGAAAACAGGCCAGATTCTGATGCTTATTACTTTACATCAGAAAACAGAGGAACAAGAAACGGTCTTCACAGGAAAAATAAGCTGACTTTATTTCTCAGAAGAGAATATTTTGCATCAAAACAACCTGAAGCAAAGTGAAGAAGTAACTAAAACAACTATGAATGTTTCGCTGCTTAAAAAAGGGAAGTAAACTATCTTAAAAAATGAGTTTTAATTAGACATTTCACACATTTAAGATCTTCCTCTTTCCAAGAATTGGCACATCTTCATCACACTTTAAACCAGCAGCATCAACGCATGTTCTTTATTTTTCACATAACATTCTGTCACATCGATGTTTTACCAAAGTTATGCTGCAGACTCTCACATTAAATCTAACTTCTTTATTTATTTCTTCTAAACGAAGTCATAACCTCTGAAAGTACCACATATAGACTCAGTCAAAGAATAAATGCTGAAATGTTGCATTAAGACCAAAACTCTGACTTAAAATAGATTTCTACTTTCTAGATAAAACATCAAACTTAATTTTCAAACTGGTTATAAATTAACTTCTTATTAGTTTTGTGCTGCAGAACATCAGGAAGTAAAATCAGCCTGAATTTCTAACTAAACAGCATCTCTACTGCCATCTAGTGTCAGCTTAAAG